TTATGCTGTGGCTCTAAAAGTGTTTTTGTGAGGAAATCTATATTTCTATATCACATGTATTTGTCTAATTTCAAGCATTTAAGCACGAGCCTTTGGATAAAACATAAATTCACCTAGGAATTGTCCAGACTTAGTGTCCAAACTCTGCTTTGCTAGCATGTATGTACAATGTGAATATTGTTATTTACACTAGCTTTATCAAATGGAGCCCAACCCAAAACAACCGAATTACATTATAATTATAACAAATTAATTTATTTTATGCAAAACTGATGGAGCTCCCACGCCCACAGAAGTGATGTTCCCTCTCTAAGCACTTGAGCTCTCACTTCTGTTCGCGTTCACATTCAAGCTGGTCGCTGATCCCGGAAAACTGCCGTCAAATTTCCGGAGAATCGTCTGTGAGTAAAAACGGGTTAAGGCTAGAAGGGATACGTATGGTGCTACTGGGCATGCGCACATCAATACAGCGTAATTTTTGTCACACTGTACAACAATAATTACTATTTTTTCATTATTGTAAGGGGTAGGTTTAGGGTTGTTGTAGGTGTAGACGTTAATAAAACACAATCTAATAGGTAGAAAATTTATTTAATTGTTCGTTTCCGGTCTGAGCTGTATCCCTTCTAGCCACAACCGTAAAAATGCCGGATTCGAATTCGATTCCGGTGTTGTGAACTTGACGGTCAATGCGGATTCCGTGTAGTGGGTGTGTCGTTCAGTGATGACGTTAGCTATCGCTCTGGGGAAAGAGATGAAAATAGTAGGCTAAAAAAAACAAAAAAGTTGCATTTCCTCTAAAACAAATTTCAAGGAGCAGAACAGCAGTTTTGTCAGTTGTATGGATTTTTTTATTATTAATTTGAGCGTTTTATTATATCCCTCATTTCCTCACTCCCTTCTTTTTCCATGTGTCCTTTTTGTTGCTCACTATTTAAAAGGTGTTCAAAATAGTTTTGTTATACTGTGTCAGCTTTAAAACACCTGCAGATCATCCTAAACACCTCCAGGGGGCGAAACCAGAATTCTGATAATCTGAATCCATGTTCAGTCTCGAATAACTTTAAGATATAATATTATACACTGCAGTTTTAATTGATACTGTTCTATTAGCAGTTAGTCTGATAGGACTTGATTTCTATAATCTTATTTGCTAATGTTGGGTTTGTTTTGGATTGAATTGTTTGATTACTAAAGCTACTTGTTTAGTGTGACAGCACTCTGACACTTTGTCTTTGGATTTGTCTAAAAACCTGTATATACTCGCAGAAAAATGCCTGAAAAAGCTTATTGACTCGCTGTTTCCTTTTTTCCTCTACCACAGTAATTCTCAAATCCTGCTTCTAGGGGCCCTGAGGCACGGCACACTGAGATGCCTTCCTCCTCTAACACATCTAATTCAACTCATCATCTCATTATTAGAGGCTCCATGACCTGAATTGTGTGTAAGATTAGTGAGACCCCTAATATGTGCACTGCTACGGGGCCCCTGGGAGCTGGATTGAGAAACACTAATCTAACACTATTTGAGTTGAAATTGCTCTTACACAAGACCTTACAAATGCTGATAACAACACAACAAGTATTAGTTTATTTTAGCTAGTTTCCTATATATTTTTTTAAACAAAAATAATTATTTTGTGTAAAAATGTCAGAAAAAAAGGTCAGTGTTTTATATGCAGATATGACTAGACACTGTGGAGCTGCAGGAAGATGACAACTAAGAAGTGCAAAATATATATATTGCATACTAGAACTCCAAAACTCTTAAGATGTTAAACCTGTTCTGCTTTTTATATTTATTTTGCTAAAGGATGCAATATATATTGTCAAGATGTTGATATTTGTATTTGATGTATTTCTTTATATTTAATTTTTATTATATATTTATTAATATTTATTTATGTTTTAGATGGTGCTTGTCTTTCCTAGTTATATGTACTTTATTAAGTCTGTACATTTGTATTTCTTCTTCTTCTTTTTAATACATCACACATACTGCAAAAATATACCTATAAACCAGCAAACTTAGCATCTGGCTGTGTACAAAAACAACAAGACGCAAACAAACAAACAAACATACATAATTTTATAGAAGAAAAAACATCCTAAAAGTATTTTCAGTTTATTTTCCATGTATTTATTTGATCATAGCTGTGAAATATTGTTTTTTCTTTCTTTTCTTTCTGAACTAGTACCTTGGGGCCACCTAGTGAGCTGTAGTAAATTACACCTGTCATGAATCTGACAAAATCCTTAATATTACCATTAATTGGTATTTCTCATGGCAACATTATAACCAGTGGTGGAAATGGCCAAAATTCACTGGGGGGACTCTAGCTTGGAGGGGAGAGGGTTTATTTTAGATGAACTTTCAGATATATATAATTATAAAAGCCTTTATAATCTATAATAGCATTAAACTTATTTCATGTTTCCTATGAACCATATGTTTTCTTGGGTATCAAGACAGGTACATTGCAGGTCAATGAAAAACGTCCATTAATTATGTGGGGTATAAACATTCATTCAACAGAATCTCTGCTTGGAGATAATTACCTGTGCAATTCTGGCCAAATTAAAGATACATTGTGTAGGAATCTGCACATGTGATAATGTAAGCATTATTAATTAATGACCCTTTGTATTTAATAAAAAATATAGAATGAGCACTTGTGCTATTAATTAAAAAATGTTAGGAGATCAATGACAAAAATTAACCTTCCCATTATGAGGTGATATTTGACTCCTTAAAATGATTTGCAGGGGCATCTTTGTAATGGCATTTCCCCCCCATTTTTTAACCTTATTAAATGTCACCTTTTATGTCAAAATCATAAATTTGTATTATAAACCTTTTAAAAAATGTATGAAAACAATAAACAATTAGAATAATCAGGAACAATCAGGAAGAATAAGTTATACCAATCAAATGAAATCAACAAAATTCAACGTTGTACTACAGAGGTGGCACAGAAGAACACAAAAGTGGCATTTAGGTATATTTAGACTGTTTAAGAAGGATGAGTTTAATGTTTAAATATAAAGTCTTGAATACAGAAATACCAAAAGATTTAAATAACTGAAATGATTATTTAAAAAGGAAACTAAAACCGCCAGTAGGTGGCGGTAAGTCACTGAATCATTCATTCAATCGATTCGTTCAAAAAAAAAGATTCACTAATAAATGAAACACCGCTGTGTAATGGAGACGTGCAGCGTATCAGCTGTGACTTTTGAGACTGTAATGCTGCTTTTACACAATCAGCATTGTATAAAGAGCTATACAAATAAAGGTGACTTGACTTGACTTTGATTGATCAGATATCATTAATATCATGATTGATTTTCGTTGACAAACAGAGCAAAAACAGTGTAAGTAACTTAATATTAACTTCTTTACTGAACTGTTGTATAGCCTAAAATCAGTATCACATTTGTAAACTCTTTTTATAATTAGCCTATTAAAAATCTGTCACTAATCTCAGTTCATCGCGATCTCACAAACTTCTGTTATAATCAATGATAATCTGTTATAATCTATGGATAACTCAGCACTGAACAAAATCTGAACACAGATTTATCCATATCAAATTTTCTGTTATCGAATCTGTAAGATTTTTGGGCAAAAATCACGGTTACCCCAGATAATTTTCCTGAAGCAGTCTGCTTTCACGGTCTGTGCTGTGAGGAGCAGAACGCGCACCGATAGAGAAGCATTTCCATTGGCTGCAGTCTGCACTCTGCAGGTATTATGGCAAAAGCAACAAAAGGGTCTGGCTGCAGCCTTGCACTTGCATTCTCAGACTTGCACTCTCAGACACCTGCGCTTCCGCTAGCGAACAAGCAGGTGAGCCCAGAATAAACGCAACACGCACAGTTTAGTGTTAAGCATTTTTCCATATAGAATAAACTGTCTACAGCTCTTTTATATCATAGTCTTTGTCCATTAAGCTCATAGGCATAGCTTGACGTTTGAGTTTGGGGGGGCCAAACCGAACCGGTGGAAAGATTCAAACAAAAAGTAATCAATAAATATAAGAAAATAAAAAATAAAAAAGACTGCAAGTGACGTCGCTAGCAGAAGCGCAAGTGTCTGAGAGTGCAAGCCTGAGAATGCAAGTGCAAATCTGCAGCCAGACCCTTCTCAAAAGCAAGACGGCTCAGCTAACCATAGACACAAATATCCCGCTGCGTTTTTATATTAATATATTGCACTTAAGTGCGGAACTCAGATCGCTTTTGTAAGCTATTGAATGGATAAAATGTAGAAATCCCTTTCATTTAAAAAAATAAATAAAAATCTAATCAGTTGGAACTGGAACGCCGTCCCCCTCGAAATGCACTCCCCGGGCTCCGCGCGTCCCCCCATTTCCAGCCCTAGAAACACTTTTTACTGGTTATGTAAACGGTGCTTTATAACCCTCCAAAAACGCTCCATAATGAAAATCAATGTTTATGATCAGTCATGGGCGGCCCATGTTGTCAGCTTTTAATAGTTTCTTATGAGGCACAGAATAATCATCCCGCAGGGGGCGCATGGTGGCTCAGAAAGCCAATTCCTTCACTGAAGCCACTTCAACTCTCACCTCGTTTTTGTCTTATTGGAAACACATGTACACCAATAGATGTAATCGATTAAATCTGTTACATACAAGGATTTGGGTTTTATCAGGAAAATGGATATCTACCTCATCAATATCTATCAAATGTATTTAATAAATCGTTGTTTAGTAATCTGTGATTGGTTAATCCCAACCAGCGCTGAGAAAATTAACAGGGAGCATGTGACTACGCTGCTCGCTTCAGACGCAATGTTGATGATAAATTACGTCTGAAAAAATAACAGGACATTTTTTATTAGATTTAAATAAAAAACATTAAACAAAAAGTTAAAATAAGGTAATTATGTTTTCAAACCCACCCAAACCACGCCCATCTTCTACACATTTTCATGCTAATTCTCATTCCACCCGCTTATTCTATTTCTATGGCTCAAGTGAGAGTCAGTCAAAGCACTGATCTAAAGCATCAGAAGAGAAAAAGACGTGAGGAAATAAACAGTTGTGCATCAGAAAGAGACTATCATGGCATCGTTAAATCTCGGGTTCAACGGGGCTCGTAAAAAAGCTGTAGCGCGTATCAGAGCCGTAGAGAGGAGGAATCTGATCACCGTTTGCAGGTAAAATCTGATTACACATTCATCATCATTGCAGCACACCGGCGCACGGGACATGTGGGATGATGTCATTGTTATTTTTTTTTAGCAAGTTAGGTTTTTTTGGGTGTAAATTGCTGATGCTGGAACAGGGGAGATGAGATGATGTACGTGCACCGCGCACGGAAGCGCTGGTCTGAGATCTGTCATCAGAGCATCACGTCATGTAGATGGAGTCCTAAGAAAAAGTACAGTGGTGATAACTACTGAATAATTCGTGCAACATGGCATATACATTGTGTTCCAAGGTACTTAAAAGAATGCATGTCAAAAATGTAGTTTTTTCTATGGTATGTTAAAAAAAAAGAAAAAAGCACGGTAGAATCATAACACTCATCTAAAAAAACAAAAACAACGTTTGGACATGGTTAAAAAAATAAAAAATAAAAAAAATAAAACACAATGCAATGGTACATGTACCAAAAAAAAAACCAGAGATAGAATATTCATAGAGATATTAATATTTTACACCATTTGATGGCAGTTTTTTATTAGATGTTAGTTTTTATATTAGGAAAGCTTGTGTCTTACAGCTGGTGATGACTGAGACTTAACAAGGATTTTAACTAGTAGGGAATGAAGAGCTTAAATACGCAAAACCTTGAGAACTACCTTGAGAACTTTGTGAACCATTTTGTGTGATATATTGTATTGCTGAGAGTTGTAGTATCTCTTTGCTGAAGGAAGTGGATACAGTACATCTTCTTGAATGTTTGGATTGGTATGCTATCATACCAATCAATTATTTCTGCAGAATACACTATATATAGTATGTGTATTTTACCTTGATGACTTGCTACCTTTGCCAAAATGTGCAGTATGCAACCAGATCACACTGCACTGGGCACTGTATCCCAAAATGCAGTGAGCTCAATTTGACCTTCTATTAAGTGTGACTTGTGAATCAGAAGTGATATCAACTTGACTTATTTTTTTTGATAAAAGTTTGCCATGTGCCAATGTTTAAAACATGTATTGTTGCATATGCAATGTGATTTATTTAACATACTACAATAAATGCAAAATATGCAACCTAGACTCACTGGAAAAACATGCCTCTACCTAATTTTGTTTTAAACAATGATTTGTAAACTAATACACTTTGATGTCTGGATCACATAACCAACTCCATATGTATGGCTTTTCTAACGTACTAAACTTGTTCGGTAGCCCACCTGGTACAGCAGTGCACTTCCGATGCGAGCCCTGTGAATCATGAGTCATGATAAAATAGTTCAAAGCCTTGTGTAATCAAGCCAAAATGGCATGGTTCCTTTAGCAAATGCATTTTTATCTAATGTCTGCTTTTGTTAACACTATAGGCTTAGTGTACAGTTTAGTGTAGGTGGTTTATTTTCAAACAGACAGTATCAAACTCAAATATCAGAACGATAAAAGTTTAATACAGACTTTTTTTTTTTTTTTATATAAAAAACTGAACACACTTTTGTGCCATTTACTGGACATTTCACTTTTAAAGTGTTGAGAAATGTGCAAGAAGCAACGTAATAAAGCGTTGCCAGATTCACATTGTTTTAAATAAAACTGAATGCACTTTTAATGCCATATATTTAATGCCATATTCGCTGGAATACGGTTAATTACATTTATATGTCTAATTAGGCAACACCACAAAGGGCACATTTGAAGCAGGAAAAGCGTCAGTCTGAACACAAATGAATGTCATACCCATGAGGGGGCACAGCAGGAATCAGCCAATCAAAAGGCTTTGAGTGTGACGTGTCCACACATGTGCAATCACAGTAAGACCGAAGCTCACAGCTCAGACAAATAAAGAGATTTTTACTGTGTGTGTCTGAGGAAGAAAGAACAGAGGAATAGATAAGCAAAATCCATTTCCTCTCATGTTTATTCTGTGATATCTGATCCAGAGTTCGTTCAGGACTGAAATAAATCACTGCAGGGTTTTTTTTTTTTTTTTGGAGTGATGAACGTCTCTGACGTTCAAAGAATTATGAAAGGAAGTTCATGTTGTCAGAACGTCTTGAATGAAGATATTTGATTGTAATCTGAATAATTGCTCTAGATCAATGCTCTTAAAAAGGCCATGAAACTTCAAAGAAGTCCAGAGAATTTGGGACCATCTAAACTGAAATGTCAGGCTGGGTTAATCTACGTGAGTTGCCACAGGATGGCTACTTCAGAAATTCTGTAGGTGGTTTTATGAGTATCAGACCGTGACAATTTTGTGTGGTTATTTTAAAGTGTTTTCACATCTCTCTCTGTGCCATAAAATACTGTGTATCAATAAACATTTCAATAAGCAGTAATATAATTGGTGCCACATGACTTTATTACACTGCAAAAGTTTTACCATTATCACACTTACTGTAAGTGTTATTTTAGTAGAATTTATATACAATTATAGTAATATTTGGAAGTAGCTTTAATATTTATATTGCCAGTTTTCATTTTAATCATCAGTTAGGGTTTTAGTAATTTTGTTATGTGCTTATGACATTTTTTAAATGTTTTTAAGCATGTTCCTATTTAGCTTTATTTTAATTTCATTTTTAGTCATTTTAGTAATTATTTATTTTGGTTAGTTGCCAAGGCAACATTTCCCTTTTTTTTTTCAAGTTTAAGTTTTTAATCTAATCTATATATATATTTTATTTTATTTGTGCTTCATTTAATGTACCAAAAATTTGTAATAGTTTTAGTTTTAGGCATAAGAAGGAGAATTTTAACATTCCAAAGAATGCACACATAAGCTTTCAGGTGTTTGCAAATCCTTGGCATGCTGCTGTGCATTTCATACCAGTTTTGATTTGTACGTTTTTTTTAAAGATGAACACATTTGCTCTGTGTGTTTTAGAAAGGAAATATCAGAAGTGAAATTATCTCTGAAATGACATTTGCATGAAGGCTGCTGGTAGGGATGAAATGATGCACCGCAAGCTGGTTGAAAATCGATACAAATATGTGACGATTCAAATCGGTTGAGATATTAAAGGAATCACGATACAGTGGGGGGTAGGAGTTTATATGAATTTATCTCTGAGGGAACTGACTGTCTTTAGAGAAGTTTAGAGGATATTTTCTTTTCATCTCGACTCTGTATAATGCATATTAATGTAGTATTTATAAGCACTGCGCTGCTTTGTTTACAGCGGCAACCAAGGAAACGCTGTATCGCTGCTGTTCCATGAGCGCCACCTGCTGACAGAGAGTGAATCTGCGTCTCATTCACCCTCTGCTGTTTCCGTCTCGTTCAGATGTTTTATGTAGCATAATTTCACAAAGTTAAAGTCAGACTATTCTGTTTTGCTTCAGATTTCGAAATTATACAGTCTAATTTAGATTAAAAACTACTCATGCAGCATCTATTCAGCATCTTTGTTTGGATCATGATTAAAATACAGTAGTTGCCTATAACTGAATGGAAAGAGCACAGGCATTTGTTATATGAAGAGGTTTCTTTTATTTGTGTTATTTGGTTATTTGATTTGGGGTTTATTTAAAAATTTCATATTTCAATTTCACGGAATTTTCAGCATTTTGTCAAAGCAATAATAAAAGGACATATTTTCATTTTTAATTGGTCTTAAATCTAATTTTGTTAAAAAACAAAAAGAAAAGAAAAAGAAAAAATCAGTATTGCATCGTGAAATTGTTACAACCCTAGCTGCTGGGTATTTGGAAGTCATGAGGAGACACAAAAAAGCACAGTAGCTGCCGATAATGAAAAGGACAGTCATTTATGCCATAATTACATTTGATGAGACCACAATAAACGGCACTAATGGTGCTCCACAAAACACAAAACATCTCCATTGACTCAAATGCACTTTTAGGGTTTTTTAAAAGCTTTAGCTTTATTAAAACGTAGCTTATTTTAGCTCTGAATTAGATGTCTATTTATCTCCTTGATGAACTCTTAGTTTTCTGGGTTTTTTTTTGTGTGTGTCACTGTGTCCAAATAGCGGCGCTCTAGCGGTTAATAAACAGAACTGCACACATCCCGCGGAAGAACATTCCAACCGGAGCTACTTCTCTAAGTTTATGTCTATGGCGATTCACGCAGGTATGTGTTACTCCGCAGCGGTGACGACCTGACCAGGCTACACTAGTCCAAATATAAGTAGCCTACTTATTATAAGTGTAGCGTAGTGATACGGAATAAGACAAAAACTCGGTTTGGAAGATGAATTCATGATGTACTCGCTCATTATATACATTTAGCAAATTTTGAACACAGAAACAGTTGCATAGTGCTGCTTTAAAATTAAAAAAAATATTTTTTTTATATAATAAATTACTAAAACTAAAATAAATAAAACTAATAATAATAAAAAAAATATATAATAACTGAGCATTAAAAGATATTTAATGCATTATGAGATGCAGTAAAATATGGCCAAATCTTAGAAGGCAGCATAATAATGTTAATTATTTATAAGACTGAAGTTTGTCAGTGTTTTACTGTATTAGCTATTAGAGATGTTTGTGTGAGTTTAAACGGTATTGTGTACATTTCTGTTGTGCCCCTGATTGTGTGTGTTTGAGTACACAGGTTCTCAGTGAAGACCCTCATTGATCGCTCATGTTTTGAGACGATAGACAACACATCTGCTGAGTTCATCAACTTTGTCTCCATTCTAGAACATATTCTCAGCCATAGACTGAAAGGTAAGGAACAAGATACACAAGATGGCACATTTTTAGCAAACGGAACTGGACTTGATAATAAACACTGAGCGTGTGTGAGCACAGCAAAACAACTTTATTATTTCATATGTGAATAGGGCATTTACATTTAAATTTATTGTAGAAAAAACAGCCTGTTGCATTCTAAGAGAGAGGGTGGTTATTAAACTAAATTACCAGTGATTTTATGTATTTTTTATTTTTTAAGAATATGTGTGTGTGTTTGTATTTTCATTTATTTTTTATTTAATTACATTTTTTTTTAAATATATTTAATTTTATAATATATTATGCATATAATACAAAAAACAACATACAATTGGCAGTGCCTTAGACAACAAATGAACTGACATACACACTCAGAATAACTGTTGAAGTGAGCTGTGCCAGAAGCTTCACACACATTATTGCATAGTGATGCTGTGATACATGCTGTTAAAAGACCTACACACACACACTCCTGCTGCTGTAATGAGGTGTAAATACAGCACTGAGTGTCTCATTTTGGGTTAGAAGAGCTCAGACGACTCTCACAGCATGACAAAACAGCTCTCACGCTCACTTACATATCAGTGTTTTTCAGACTTTCAGCAATATTTGATCACTCCATGTTAATGTATGTTCTCTGAAATGGCTTAAAAAGCTAAAAGTTCATGTGGAGCTCATCACTTGTCAGAATCAACCCTTTAAATTACTAGCTCAGATATTTACCCACAATGTCACTGCACTAAAACACAGTGTTTTGTTTTTCTAGAATAGTTTTGCATCTAAATGAATACACAGCTCTTCTTGAGGAATCAATCTGTTTTTACACTGCATTGTGTGTGTGTTTTCCCGCTGAAGGTCAGGTCAGCTGGTTTGGCTACGAGAGCCCGCGCAGTTTCTGGGATTACATGCATGTGGCGTGTAGTAAAGTCCCGCACAGCTGCATCCATAGCATCGAGAACATGGAGAACGTCCGCAGTTCTAGAGCAAAGGTCAGGACACACGTCTGTGTTGCAGTGTTATTTTAGTATTATTTATAAACAGTTATAGTATTTATTATTATTTTGAATTATCTTTTATTTTTATATTTTTAGTTTAAGTTTTAGTAATTGTGTTACATGCCTTTGTCATTTTTATTTTATTTATTTTTAAATATTTTTGTTTAGCTTTAATTTATATTTATATTAGCTTTAATGTATACTTATTTAAGTTTTAGTAATTTTAGTACTTCAACTTATTTTATTTCAGTTAGTTGCCAAATGCCAGTGCAACATTTCCAATTTTCAGTTTTTATTTTAATTTTAGATTCATGTTAATTTTAGCTTACATTTGAGTAACTTTATTATGCGCTTTTGTTATTTTTATTACTTTAAAAAAATATATATTTAGCTTTAATTCATATTTCAGTTTTAGTTTCAGTAATTTTAGAAATTAATTTTATTTTAGATAGTTGCCAATGCAACATTTCATATTTATGTTAAAAAAAAATTTTTGTACTAAATATTTATATACGTTTTATTTTTTATTTCAGATTTTTTTTATTTAAGGGAAATTATTTTTAATAGTTTTAGTTAACAATAACAACATTGGTTTGGTGTCATATTTCAACAAAGAATAACACTCTCATACTATCACAAATTATAAAAACACAAAAACCAGAGGAAACTCCCAGATCAGACTTGTCCTGTTTAAATCTGGTATTGTCATCCATCTCGGATGATTCAGTCACAAGTGCTCAACTAAGACAGATAGCCGGCTCAGATGCTGTGATGTTACTCAGTTTTAAAGGCTTCAGTGGTTGACAGGTAAGACCATCTCTCTCTCTCTCTCTCTCTCTCGTTCTTTCTCTCAGGGTCGTGCCTGGATGAGAGTGGCGTTAATGGAGAAGCGTTTGTCTGAATACATCTCTGCAGCTCTGAGAGACTTCAAAACTACAAGGTATATTTTCGCAGCACTCAGACACACACACTGAGACTCTTATATTTGATTGTGGTCAAATCTTTTTATGGGTCTCTGTTGTCAACCTCTCTACAACATGGATTGTTTAAACATTGCGACTTCACTGAAATAAAAGCAGCACCATATGACTTTTTAGCTTTTTAGTCTACAAAAATGCATTGTTTCATCAATGATTCTTCCATGTGTACCTTACCAGTTTAATGTGCAGAGACATCAGCCATTTATAGCTTGACTTCATAAAAGTCACTGTGGCACTATCAAAACATTGCTTTTTTTTTTGAGCAGTCCGACATGTCAACGTCTGGTTTAACTCAGTGATTTTAGTTTGGTGGTAGGACTAACTGTTTGAACAGTTGAAGATGGGCGGAAAATATCAGTATTTTGGCAATTCAGTCTGTTGTCACAATGAAACACTGACACTGAAATTACACACTTCATCTTGAAAATACCAGGGTTCCCATGATCTTAAAAAACCTGGAAGTATCACAGACAATTTTCAGCATCATTACTCCAGTCTTCATCGTCACATGATCCTTCAGAAATCATTCTAATATGCTGATTTGCTGCTCAAAAAATATTTCGTATTATTATCGATGTTAAAAATAGCTGTGCTGCTTAATATTTTTGTGGAAATGGCGAGAAACACATTTTTGTGGAAATACATTTTTTAAGGATTCTTAGAGAAATAGAAAGCATTTATTTGAAATAGTCTTTTATAACATTGTAAATGTATTTGCAACCTTTGATTAATTTAAAAGAAAAAGTTTTTCTTTAAAAAAAAATGTTATCTGACCCCAAATTTTTGAGTGGTAGTGTATGTATCTACATTTAAAAAAGAAAAAAAAAAAAGAAAATTAGCAACTACAAATTAACGAGAATACAAAAGTGCTGCTATTTGTTCTTCTCTGGTCTTCATCAGTTTTGTGTGTTTGTTTGTCAGGAGGTTTTATGAGGAGGGGGCTGTAGTTCTGGGTGAGGAGGCGGGGCTTCTGGCAGATACACTGATTGGACTGAATGCCATTGACTTCAGGTACGTTCATGTTCATTCACTTCCTTTCTGTGGGAGGCAGTGACATTCAGTTATGCCACAGCAGGACAGGATGCTGATCATTCATTATATGGGTGGTGCTCTATAAACACCTGCTGACACAAGCTGCAAACACACACACACATACACACGCAAAAATAGATGCTGAGAACAGCCTCTGTATTGTTTTGTAGGATAATCACTTCCCATAATACAGTACTCTACCACCGTGACATTCTCATCAAATGAAGTGCCTTTGTTGGCTTATGCTGAAATTTTCATTCTTGATTGACAGTTTCTGTCTGAAAGGGGAGGGGCTTGATGAGAGCTGTCCTGTCGTCATTGACTACACACCATACCTTAAATTCACACAAACGTAAGAGCACTACATAAAATCATGCTGGCATTGTGAACATGCTTTAGGCCTTATTAATGCTTGTGATTGAATATTATTTATGTGTGTGCTGTAGTTCTGAGAGCATCAGCAGTGATGAGGAGGAAATGAGAACGATGGGCAGCAGCGGCAGTGAATCAGGCACTCCTGAATCCCACATGGCCGCCAGTCTGATGGCCGATCAGAGCACCTGGTACAGCAAGAGCAAAAGACTAGAGCAGAAATACAGAGTCGTGCTGGAACAGAAGGTGAGGCGACTACTAATCGTACTGTTTATGCAGTATGTATAGCCTACTGGGTGCAGTACACTGAATTTTTCTATGCATAGAATACCCACATCTACTGCAGTTGCCAAAATGCATAGTACACAACCAGAGCATAAAGTGAGCTTCCCTTTTCTTGGTTTTCATTAGCTGTGCATGAAAATCAACTTTTGAGCATGCTGCATTAAAGGGGACATCGGATGAAAATGTCACTTTTTTAGCTTTCTTTGCATTTAGTTAGGTTTCTGGTGTGTCTGCCAGCTCAGAAAAGCTGAATAGGAAAATGCAGCCAGTTTGTTGTGGGCTGTCTTAGTCTGAAACTGTCATCCAGCAAGCTGTTTGCAGCAGGTTTCTAAGTAGATAGCTAGCTATTTGAATAAGACCATCTCCAAGCTATATACGGAGTCCAAGGCAGCAATTCACGCCTCTTGTGACGACACGCCCCACGGAAGAGAGGGGTGGGGTGAGCAATAGCTCATTATCATTTAAAGAGACATGCACCAAAATGAATCGCTTGTTTTTGACAAGGTAAAAAGGGTGTTGTTTTTCACGACCATAGAGGAATTTTAACATAAAGTATGTTACAGAAAGTATGTTAAAAAATGTATGTTAAAAAATCTTTGTAGTCAGTCACGCTGCATGCTGTTTACATACGTTTTTTAATAGTATTGTAAAGCCTATCTATGACAAGCAATTGATTTCTCTACTCAAATCGTCCATGTAACCGCCATTTATTAACAACTCGACAAAAGTTCTAAAACATAAATAGGCTTAGCTGGTAGCAAGTTGATACCGGAAGGGTTCAACACCCCCCAATATTTCATGTGCAAGCGTGCAATACTTTACATCGGACTTAAATAGTAATTCAAAACAGTGACACAGGCCAGCTCCTAAAACAGAGCCAGAAAGACACCCTCATTATTGTGCTAGAACATTCAAAATCATTTTTAAAACACCACACATCGAATAACATATATAAATACAAAAATACACATTTCAATACATTTAAATACAGCACAACATAAAACAAACATACACTTCAACCATATATATATCACATACCTAGTACCAGCTACAACAACAGTTTTCCAAATCTGGCACAAACCATCATTGCCGTCTGCACAAAACATTTTAATGCACATGATTATACAAAATATCACACTTTTAAAAAGTATTACATCAAACATTGTCACATACCTAACTACAGCTACCCATCTGGCATTCAGCGTGCACGCCGCCATTACTCCAAAGCTAATGCCATGCCATTCATAAAGGACACGAGGCTAGAAACTACCGTACTCACCCTACCAAACAGGACTACCATAAATACTATAGTGGTTGTAGCTACATCACAGTATGTAGTATAGAATATATTCTGTCATATATAGACTGTATATATATTGTGTGCCATATGCAGTAAGCAGTACTCTAGTTTTCTGTATTCTGTGTGATGAACTTTGAATGTTAAACTGAGCGTGAATATTTCTAGATCAGGGATTCTCAGTGCTCCTGAGTGTGTCACATTTTAAGTATCTAGTCTGACACCCTCAAATCAGGTCGTGGGGTCTGTACTGATGAGTGGATGAGTCAGTCAGGTGGGTGTTAGATAAGAGAGACATCCTGGGGGGGCCCGGGAGCAAGACTAGCAAATACTGACACAGATCACATGAATTATTATAATTGTTTAGGGTTATCTGGAGGAGCTGGTGCGTCTGAGGGAAGTTCAGCTCTCTGAGTCTGTCTCTCAGAATAAATCTCTACTGCAGCGGCTCACAGACACCGAAATCAGCCACAAACTGGAGAAAGAGCAGCTGGAGATCATCATACTATGAAAATATATGCATAACAGTTTCCACAAAAATATTAAACAGCAGAACTGTTTTCAACATTGATGTTTATATATATATATATATATATATATATTGTATTTAGTATTTTTATATTGTTTTTATATTTTCAGTTTAATTAGTTACATTTTTGTAATTTAATTATGTGCCTTTGTATTTTTTGTTAAGTTTTATTTTTTTCTATTTAGCTTTAATTTGTCTATTTCAATTTTAATTTGAGTGATTTTTAAACTTGAATGATCTATAAATGATCTAATTTGCATAGAAATGACATGTTAAAAAGAAACACAATGTCTTAAAGGAATAGTTCACCCAAAAATGAAAATTCTGTCATCATTTTACTCACCCTCAAGTTGTTCCAAACCTGTATGATTTTTTTTGTGTTTAAATTTCAGTTAATTTATATATTATATATGTATGTATATATGTGTGTGTGTATGCTTTTATAGTATTTTTATATTGTTTTTATATTTTCAGTTTTAATTTTAATTACAGTTACTTTTTTGTTAATTTTGTTACTCACCCTCAAGTTGTTCCAAACCTGTATGATTTTTTTTGTTCTGCTGAACACACACACACATATTTTGAAGAATTTGAGTAACCGAGCAGTTTATGGTTCCCATTGACTTCCATAGTATTTATTCCATACTCTGGAAGTAAATAGGGACTGCAGCAACTGTTTGATTACCAATATTTATCGAAATATATAAATCATGAAATAACTTTCATTTTTAGGTGAACTATAGGTGAATACTTTAGGCAAACTCAGCACATTTTGAACCTGATTAAACTGAATAGTTGTTGATTAGTGAATATGACACTGGATTTCATACTGAAATGCTTCACGCAAAAGTAGCACAACTGTCTAGCAAACTTGCCTGTGTAAGTATAATTCAGGCTCATGGAAATGTGCTGTTACGGGAGGGGAAAGGTTTGTTATCTTGCAGGGTGGTCTCATTTATCATCTGATGCTGTGTAGCAGAAGAATGGTTAATCTTTAGTGTTTTCCATGGCTGCAGAGTGTCAGTACGGATGATGTCTGAATGTTTTCTGCCTCCTGAGTCCTCCGATTCGTTTCTCCTCTCATTCTCTCAGACAGCTGGAGTTCATGGTTTAACTGAGCTCTGGAGATCTGTGTAATCGAGGAGACGTCAAAGCTCGACCAGAGCAGGGTTGCTATGGAGACAGGTGCAAATAAGTTAATAGATGATGGCAGCATGTAAGCGGAGAGAGGATTTGATTGATGGACAAGAGGGAGGGAATGAAAGACTAGAGGAGAAACTGATGGGAGGAGAAAGCGTGCGTTTGTTTGGATGTACTTTTGTCTTGGTGCTCGTTTTTTTTCCCAGAACATCACAACTGTTTTCAACATTAAGAAGAAATATTTCTTGAGCAGCAAATCAGCACATTTGAATGATTTCTGAAGGATCATGTGACACTGAAGACTGGAGTAATGATGCTGAAAATTCAGCTTTGCATAAGGAATAAATTACATTTGAAAAAATATAAAAAATAGAAAACCGTTCTTTTAAATTGTAATAATATTTCACAATATTTGTGTGAATATTGTGTGAATATATTGCCAACCCCAAACTTTTGAACAGTAGTGTTTACTATGCAGTGTGCAGTATGCTAGTCAGTACTTGTTCTTGGTTATATGATGTTTATCTAAGTAGATACAAGTCCATGAGAAGCTGTTTGTGTTTCTCTGTATAAGTTGCTGCGGACCATCTGGGCGAATCAATACAGATGTCCGTGAGTGCTAGCAGACCACTATTAGTGATTTTACAGCTGAGTTGTCAGTTTTGAAATCCAATTGCTGAGGTTAAAGACTCTTTTTATGGATGAGAATATTTGACACTGAATGCCATGTTCCAGATGTTAAGCTTTGATCAGTGACTTGATAAAGATGGATTTAGGAGAAGGTTTGGGCAGGAGGTTGTATGATAAAAGGTAAATATTTAGACAAGCCTGGTTGATTTCCTACTGTATAAATTAAGGCTGCAAAATGATTATCATGATTATTTTGCTCAAAGAAAAAAATAAAAGCATCCAGATTGCTCCACAAATGCAAATTCGTATAGATGGACTTCAACAAACGATACTTGTCATCTTTTTTCTTTTAGCCATTTTCCTCTTTAGAATAGCTAAACACTGAAAACAGAAGTGTCTTATGTAGTTTTCAACTGATTTACATTATGAAAATGGGTAAAGTCTTTTAAAAAAGCTAAAACTGTTAAATTCCTAATACTAATTCTGATAATTCCAGATTGTGTAAAATTTTTACTTTAGTTTGTACATAGCACAGAGTAAGTGCATTTATTCAGTGACCTCAATCACAAACAATATGGTCGAGATTTATGTTTGGATTTATTACAGCTGTCAGTGAGAAGGTTTGCTCAACATTTAGTAGCAGCAAACAGCACAAGCGGCCTCGTGAAGGAACGCAGACTGACTGTAGACTATGCCACTTTTATTTGAGCAGAATGGAGATCACTAAACTCTAACATATTTTTGTGTGTTTTCAGATCATCTGCACTGAGCACATGAGCGTTTTCACATCTTTGCCTGTTTGGGAAGATTTAAGTAAAACACTGGGCAGAAAATATGTTTTTAAAAGAAAAGCTCTGATTTGGGGGATTTAGGGGAAAATCTTGATATTTGGCAACCCCAAGCATGAAAGCTAGTGGAGACTTGTTACCAGTGCATGATAACGGCAATGTCAAATAAAATTCATGTTAAAGGGGTCATATGACGTTGCTAAAAAATAACATTATTTGGTGTATTTGGTGTAATGAAATGTTTATGTGGTTCAAGGTTCACACCTGGCCAGTATCAAAATGATTATTTGTGATTCATCGAGAGAAGCTGAAATTGTGATCGCGATGAAAATGCGACTGATCGTGCAGCCCTCGTATATATATATATATACTGCATTTTCAGCTTTTTAGCACTGTCTCTTTAAATGATAATATTCGTTTTTCCAGGACGGTGATGAAGAACTATGACCTTCGCTCCAGACAGGAGCTTACCTCGCACCTGACAAACCAATGGCCCTCACCTGCTGCCTTGGATACCGATGCAGTTGCCTTGGATACGCTCCTGTACAGGAAACGCACAGGACCATGGGAAGAGTATGTGCTTTCTGTTTTTGTATTTCATGAAAGTATCCTCTCAGATTACGCAAGTCCTTATGAGATACATGCAACTTCACACCACAACTCATCTAATATTGGATTCCAGTTGAGTTGCTCGTGCTCAGCGAATGATCCAGGAAGCAAAGGCTCTCAGGCTGTAGTTTTAGCTCACGTCTGCAGCTCTCAAATCACATTACAGTATTGGCATGCTTCCTACAGCCATCATTCTCATGTATTGATAACCTACAGAGGTTATTAAATGGACTGCTCTAATTGTAACCCAAACTTCAGTGGTGTTTCTCATGAAAACACATCATGGTATTTTCAGTTAATTATATTGTTTTCATGTCAATTAAGCACATTTCCTCCCCAGATTTTTATTACTGTCATGTGTATAGATTTCAATTGTCACTAGTGGTCCTTGTTAGATTTTCACTATTGAATATTGAAATATTATTATTTTTTCTTTTGTGACATCAACATGTTCTTTACTTATTTCATGACTTTAAACCATGCGTGTGTGACCACAGGAAAAGCTTCCAGAGTTTGGAGCAGCTTTCTGCAGATACGAGTCTCTCTCAGATGTCTCTGGATCCAGCACAACTGAACACACACAGTCTGGAGAGCAAGGCAGGACTTACACACTGGCACAGAGAAGGTTTGTGATGTGTGTATGTGAGTCAGCTATGGTGACATCATTCTCTGATAACCAGCTCTATTATAGATGATGTCATTTTGCAATGGAAGAGACATTTCTCCACCTGAGGGAAGATAACAGCATCCCTTCCTCAGTATTTGTGTGAATCTCATGAAGACACCAGACAATAAAAGGAAGAAAAATGGGAAATTATATTTACTCAAAGAAAATAAGGCATATTTTAAGACAATTAAGAATTTATGCATTGTGACATTATTTAGAAAATGTACGCAAATTTTCATTTCTGGAATGATTAATGCAGTTTGGAGTTTCAATTTAAAGGGGTCATATGATGCGATTTCAAGTTTTCCTTTCTCTTTGGAGTGTTACAAGCTGTTCGTAAATAGATAAGATCCCTAAAGTTGCAAAGACTAAAGTCTCAAACCCAAAGAGATATTCTTTATAAAAGTTAAGACTGGTCCACGCCCTCCTAAAACGCCTCGTTCAAACACGCCTCCACATGTCTACGTCACGATGTGGGAAGATTTGCATAACACCGCCCAAATGTTCACACAAAGAAAGAAGGCATAACGTTTATTCTCGCTGTAGTATCGTTGTTGCCGTCGGTGCCATGTTGTGGAGTCGCTGTGTGTTTCATTGTGAAAGCGAAACTACTTTGTTTGGCCTTTCTCAAAATGAGGTCCTCATGCCTCACGCCTAAAATTAATATATAAAACACATAAATCATGTAGAAATAAATGTTTCTAATTACAATATTTTTGTATTTGTATTTTTCCTATTTTTGCAGAACTGAAAGTGACAAAATGTAAATGATACAAGAACAGTTAACGGTCTTAAAAAAATCCAAAATGTGATTTAAATTGGAATTAAAAAAAAAGATTTTCTTAAATCACAGTTGATATTGCTTTTGGTTTGTTCACTTGTCAACATTCATCAGTTAACAGTCAGGTTGAGAGCAATGCATTGTGGGGTAGGTAAAGTATCTCTAGAGTTATTTTAGTATTATTTTTATTCTATTATAGCATTTATTAATACTTTGAATTAGCTTTTAGTTTTATATTTTCAGTATAATTTTAGTTTATATTTTAGTAATGTTTTATGTGCTTTTTTCTTTATTTAGCTTTAATGCATTTTTATTGAGGTTTTTAGTTATTTAAGTACTTTAAAAGCTTAAACAAAAATTAGAAATGTTGCCTTGGTAACTATTAGTTTTTCATCTAATGCTTTTATTTTATTTCAGATTTATTTAAATTACCCAACTCAATTTTTAATAGTTTTATTTTTAATTAACAATAACAACTATTGCTACATCTATTGCGCAGATGTTGTGGCTACTGCTCTGCCCTTTGTCTGTTTAATAATAACATCCTCGCTCCTGTGTGAAATGATATCAGTGATGTCTCCACACTCTACTACTGTGTGTATATGTGCTTGTGTTTTCACAGGGAAAGAGGATACTCCGTCTCTGAGGGGTTTGTGTGGTTCCTTAACCTCAATGGCCAGTTACAAATCTCTGGCTAGTCTGAAGTCCAGCGAGTATCTGGCCAGTCCAACAACAGACATGACCAGCCCTGGACTGACTCCATCCTGAGAGACAAGTATGGACATACTGTATAAATGCATACACAAACACACCAGCCTGCTTGAGATGGTGTGGACTTCAAATTGAAGTGAAGAAAGAAAAGCTACCTATCGGTACCATCCTCAGAGCTTCTAAGAGACATTTCAGCTAGACAAGATGAAACCCCAGTGCTATCCCGACTGGTTTTAGTTTAATTTGAAGTGCAATTCATTTTCAAATCTGAAGTCCATAGCTAGTGTAAGCATTAGCATTAGTGAATATTGAGCATAATGTATCACGATGAATGACAGTCTTGACTCAGGACATCAGTGAATTTCAGATGTTTGTGAAATTTTGTTTATCTACCCAGTTCAAATGTTTGCTGTTTTTGGAAAGTCTATAGATAAAGGTTTTCATGGTGTTTTATTTTTGCTTCTGCTCATAAAATTTGTCCTGTGTGGAATTATACTGAATAATTACTAAACTCTGATTTAACTTCAGTGCCCCTATCGAAACTTATAGTTTATAAAAAAAAAAAACACATCATAGCACATCACAGCTATACTAGCACAGCTATGTAGGAAATATTTTTATATATTTATTTTATTTTATTAATGTTTTATTTCATTTAATATTTTATTTTAAGAAAAAATTCTAGTTGCAAGCCTCCTCTTAAATCCACTTTTCATTATAAATTATATCAATTATTGTGATTAATCTGGCCCCTCTCTACACATTTTGGTCCCCTTTAATAAAAACTAGAATCAGCATGCCAAGTAAAATACATTTTTAACTATTTTTTAACACCGCTTTCAAAATATTAACATGAACATATAGCTGTGATATTCAGTAAGAAATATATTTAGGACGTTAACCTAATTGTATCCATCAGAAATGGTTTGGATTGTGAGAAATGAGTGATCTGTATCAAAATGGAAAAGCTGGAGCCCTAATATTGTTGAATTGTCCAATTAAGACAGAATTGTGAACAACAAACATTGCTTTGTTCATTTGCCATCATTTGTCTTTTTAGGGAGTAAGAGGAATGTGATTTCAGAAAATTCTCTGGTGTGCTGAATGTGGATGTGTATACATTTATTTCTCGTCTCTGGCTTTTAACTGAAGTGTTTGAGATTCACTCTGTCCTCTTATGTGGAGAGGTTTTACATATTTATGAGTTCTGTGATTTACATAATCATACAGCACTCAAACATCGGTTTTGCATTTTTTCCTACCGTCACTCACAGATAGTGGCTAATGTGCACTGGTGTAAAGCATTGCCATGCATTTATATAAATTAATAAGAATAATATGGATGATAAATAATATGATGCATATTGGACTGGAACAAGAATGTATTCAGAATCTAAAGCAAAGATCTTTAACTTCACCTGTAAACATCTGAACTAGTGTTGTCAATTTAATGGGATTAATTATATATATTTTTTAAAGTAAGAAAAAAATATTCAAGTTAATAATTTCCTCTAATTTGTACGTAAATGTTGTAATTTTCCTACCTACAGAGCAAATCAAGATTAAAGTACCACTTTGTTTTTGACTGTATAATGAGGCTGTGGACTATAGGCCAGTGATGTTCAATGAGACGGACATAAATGATATATTGACTTCAAAGCCAATATATATATACAGTATATTTTAATGTCCATTCCATGCTTTTCTCATCTGCTGCAGTTATCCTCATTAGGGGGCTTTTTTGTGGTTAGTTTGATTACAAAATCAGAATGTCATAATTAATATGCAGTATTTAATTAATTGACTGCCCTAGTCTGAACCCATTTTTTATTTCAATGGAAGGTTTAATTTTAGAATTAATTGGTAGAGTTGTGTTTGAAGTTAAATTTAATATTAAGAAATTAACATTCAAGTGTTACTAGTGTGATTTGATCATAAAAACAGGCCTGTTTATAAAATCAGTTTAAGAGGCATGCCAAGCCATGAGTAATATATGACAATAACTGAAGATATTAAGAAGTGTGTATGATTACTCATTAGCATCAACACAGAAATAACAGAAATTCCAGGGAAACACGTATGCAGAATTCCCATCTAAAATAGTCTTGTACATCGCCTGGCTGAACATCCATGTTCTTAGTGTTGAAGAATGTCTCGTCTGCCTGTGACTTAATTTCTGTACTGCAGAAATACATCTTACATGTGAAATGCATGTTTTACACTGTTCAGAGCTAGTTCAGAAGCCAGTACATCTAAATGTGCATCTCAAGGTTTATTTGGGATTCTTACAGCCCTGTTTGTGCAATTCAATGTATTTTGTGTATAGTGGAATGAAGGAAATGCATTTCAGTACCTAAGTGTTACTTTTCAGTTACAAGAGTTTTAGCCTTTAAATTTGAAAAATGTTAACACTTGTTTGAAAACCCTGCAGAATTGTCACCTTTAGACATTTTTGAATGTATTTTCTTTCTCAATGCTTTGAAATCTGTTTTTGTGATTGAGCTTTTGTTTCTTTAATTTTCTGTTGCACTGTGACAGAAATAAATGGGGTGAGGATAACGCGGGCGCACTGAGATGAATATCATATATTCACCTAATTATAATTTAGCCTCAATATATTCAGTCAAATTTCACTTTATGTCCTCATCTATGATCTTTTTTTTTTTTCTTCAATAAATTAAAATGTAAATACAAGCTTGGCTGAATGCTGATTTTGTGCAATGGAATACTAGCTTACAGAATATTGTCACACGACCTCATCACATTGCAGGTTTAATTTAGTGTTTGATGTCCAGTTATCAATACAAATTAAATGCAATTTTGTGAAAAAACAGAATGCTGAAACTAATTCTCATTCTTTTATCACACTGGAAATGGAAGGTAAATAGATTACAAATTTGCACATGGCATAAGATCTTATGTGCTCCTGGTTCAAGCAACATGAGTGTAAATTAAAATAACTAGAGACAATATTCTGGACTGAATAAAGGAATTCGAGACAAAGAGATTTTAAATCATTTATGAATCACTGTTGAAGCACTTAAAAAGGAAATTCAATTACAAACGGCGCAATTGTTTAAAAAGCTGTGAATATTCACACTTTTTAGGCAATGGGTCAAGAAAAAAATATATTAATAAACAATTATAAATCAATTATTTAACTACAGTTAAAAACCTCAATCTTATTTTTGCCACCATTTGCATACACTGTCTTCATTTAACACAAACCTCGAAAAGAAATTACTGAAACACTACTAAGACAATAACAATTAAAAGTCAACAAGACAACAGGTAGAACAAAATTACAAGGATAAGCATGTCTGATGGGAATAAATTTGGTGTGAATTTACCAGTTTACCTAAATAAATAAATAAAGATGCGTTTATATGCGAGGGTTTATGTTTCTTCACCTTTTTTAATTAAAACATTTAAAAACACAAATATTAAACTATTTTATTTTCAATAATTTGACCTATGTGTAAGATACTCTGTTACTTTTAAATATTTACTAGAGAAAGTAAATACTGATTTATTTCACAGCAACTTTATAAACTAATCTCTCTTTTAGACAGACAGCAAGAGTGATTACATGTTGGGAAAAATTGTGGTGTAGTCTGTGATTAATTTACTGAATCTTAAAGGTCTGTGATCCAAGTGTTCTTCTAAATCAGTGGTTTTCTGTGTGAGGCGACATGCTGGACTGCAGTTGTGTCACCCTCTGTTTTTTCTGGTTGTATCTGTGGAAAAAAGCTTTTCCGAACTCATATGTGCTGATCATTATAGCACACGCCGGAGCCACTTTAATCAGCCTCAGCAGAAAACCTGAGGATAAGAGACAGAGAAATCTGAGCTGTACTGCTGAGACATCTAGTGGTGACTTGAAAATCACGGCCCTATGATTACATATACATGTGTGTATATATATATATATATATATATATAAAATACTTTATTTAGCAAGGACGCGTTTAATTGATCAAAAGTGCCAGCAAAGACATTAATAATGTTACAAAAATTATGTTTCAAATAAATGCTGTTCTTTGGAACTTTCTATTCATCAAAGATTTCTGAAAAAAAAGTGTCACAATTTCCCCAAAATATACTGTTTTCAAAATTGCACAACTGTTTTCATATTAGCATATTAGAATGATTTATGAAGGATTTTTTTATTTATTTCTGAAGGATCATGTGACACTAAAGACTGGAGTAATGACGCTGAAAATTCAGCTTTGCATCACAGAAATAAATTACATTTTAAAATATATTAAAATAGAAAACATTTATTTTAAATAGTAATAATATTTCACAATTTTAATATACGGTATATTAATCTTACCGATCCCAGATTTTAGAACGGTAGTGTGTGTGTGTTCTATATGAATACACATATTTACCTGCAAATAGTCCTGATACTCCATTTTCAGCAACTATCCTTTTCATGTGCTGGATGAGACTTGTGTGGACACTACACAGATTATACTGCACATTAATGTAATATTCTGATTTGAACATACATGTTAAACCAAAGCTCAGAATCCCCCAATTATGGAAACCATTTACATAATTTCACCTGAATACTCACATTTCATTGTCTGCAGTTCACCCAGTTCTACCTGTCGTTTTGTCTTGACCACATCAAAGGGCAGCGTGATGACTGAAGCAAACTAAAGTAAGAAAATGCAGGTACTTGACATTTCAGGACATGTTTTTATTTACAATACAAATACAATGAGGCCAAACACATCCTGGATATTTCACACTGAATCACATTGAACCCTACTTATGCGTGCATTTAGTACCAGTAAATGAGGCCCATGAGAGCTCTGATGATACAGATGTAGTAAATCACAAACTTACTGATCCAGACAGTGCTCCAGCTGTGAATGTGATGGCAAAAGTTGGATCTGTACAGTTGTAATATTGACAGAGCCATGCTTTACCCTTCTCATAGTTAAACCAGTACATAGCTGAGGAGAAACAAAGTCAAATAAGAAATTAGGAAATAGCAGCAAACAATACGCATTCCTATGAATGTATAGGAGACCCCTTCAAAATATGCTCAATTGGAAAACTACTATTTCGTGGTGCATGTCGGTTCAAAAGTTTGGGGTTGGAAAGATTTTTAAAATGTTTTTGAAAAAAGTCTCACCAAGGCTGCATTTATTGGATAAAAATATAGTAAAAACAGCAATACTGAAAAATATCACTGCATTTTTTTTTTTAAATACTGTTTTGTATTTTAATATAATTCGTATGTATTCCTGTGATAACAAAGCTCAATTTTCAACAGCCATTACTCCGGTCTTCAGTGTCACACGATCCTTTAGAAATCATTCTAATATGCTGATTTGGAATTTAAGAATTACAATAAAACTAAAATAACACTGTTGCTCACCAAGGCTGCATTTATTTGATCAAAAATACAGCAACAAAGTAGCAACAAAGAGCAACAATGTAACATGGAGAAATGCAAAAATACAGAGCTGGACATTTCGCAAACAAGTCTAGATGAGGAAGACCTCATTATCAAAGCTTATATAAATATATTATAGAATATAACCGATTTGTGGGTCGGTTGGATATCCATCAGAAATCACATTCAGTTTTATATGAGTTTTTATCTTAGTTTTTGTATTTTTGAGTCTTGTGTTTGTAAATCAAGTG